ACTGCGCATAGAGACGGAGTAGAGGGAGAGATGAGAGCCTCCCCCCTCTCCCCCCCTCTCCCCCCGCTCCCCCCTCTCCCCCCGCTCCCATCCACAGTGCAGTGGCCTGTAACAGCAGCTGATGCCTCCGAACCTGGGCCTCTCGTTATAATGAGCCCAGTGGAAGATCCAGTCTTTGACAGATTATCAGATGTGTGTGTCTCATGCGTGACTTTGCTGCAGAGTAGCGTGACATTGTGTGTTTAAAACGTCGTATTGTGTTGTTATTATACATGTGTCTTTATAGGAAGTAAGAAAATACGATATTAGTATTAGTATTAATCCACCTCTGTTAAATGTGTGTGTATATCTGTTACATGTGTGTGTATCTCTGTTACATGTGTGTGTATCTCTGTTACATGTGTGTGTATCTCTGTTACATGTGTGTGTATCTCTGTTACATGTGTGTGTGTATCTCTGTTACATGTGTGTGTATCTCTGTTACATGTGTGTGTGTATCTCTGTTACATGTGTGTGTATCTCTGTTACGCGTGTGTGTATCTCTGTTACATGTGTGTATCTCTGCTACATGTGTGTGTATCTCTGTTACATGTGTGTGTATCTCTGTTACATGTGTGTATCTCTGCTACATGTGTGTGTATCTCTGCTACATGTGTGTGTATCTCTGTTACATGTGTGCATCTCTGTTACATGTGTGTATCTCTGCTACATGTGTGTGTATCTCTGTTACATGTGTGTATCTCTGTTACATGTGTGTGTATCTCTGTTATATGTGTGTATCTCTGCTACATGTGTGTGTATCTCTGTTACATGTGTGTATCTCTGTTACATGTGTGTGTAACTCTGTTACATGTGTGTGTATCTCTGTTACATGTGTGTGTATCTCTGTTACATGTGTATATCTCTGTTACATGTGTGTGTATCTCTGCTACATGTGTGTATCTCTGTTACATGTGTGTGTATCTCTGTTACATGTGTGTGTATCTCTGTTACATGTGTGTGTATCTCTGTTACATTTGTGTATCTCTGTTACATGTGTGTATCTCTGCTACATGTGTGTGTATCTCTGTTACATGTGTGTATCTCTGTTACATGTGTGTATATCTCTGTTATATGTGTGTATCTCTGCTACATGTGTGTGTATCTCTGTTACATGTGTGTATCTCTGTTACATGTGTGTGTATCTCTGTTACATGTGTGTGTATCTCTGTTACTTGTGTATATCTCTGTTACATGTGTGTATCTCTGTTACATGTGTGTGTATCTCTGCTACATGTGTGTGTAACTCTGTTACATGTGTGTGTAACTCTGTTACATGTGTGTGTATCTCTGTTATATGTGTGTGTATCTCTGCTACATGTGTGTGTAACTCTGTAACTCTGTTACATGTGTGTGTATCTCTGTTACATGTGGGTATCTCTGTTACATGTGTGTATCTCTGTTACATGTGTGTGTATCTCTGTTACATGTGTGTGTATCTCTGTTACATGTGTGTGTATCTCTGTTACATGTGTGTGTATCTCTGTTACATGTGTGTGTATCTCTGTTACATGTGTGTGTATCTCTGTTACATGTGTGTGTTTCTCTGTTACATGTGTGTGTATCTCTGTTACATGTGTGTGTATCTCTGTTACATGTGTGTGTATCTCTGCTACATGTGTGTGTATCTATGTTACATGTGTGTGTATCTCTGTTACATGTGTGTATCTCTGTTATATTTGTGTGTATCTCTGCTACATGTGTGTGTATCTCTGTTACATGTGTGTGTATCTCTGCTACATGTGTGTGTATCTATGTTTCATGTGTGTGTATCTCTGTTACATGTGTGTATTTCTGTTTCATGTGTGTGTATCTCTGTTACATGTGTGTGTAACTCTGTTACATGTGTGTGTAACTCTGTTACATGTGTGTGTATCTCTGTTACATGTGTGTGTAACTCTGTTATATGTGTGTGTATCTCTGTTACATGTGTGTGTATCTCTGTTACATGTGTGTGTATCTCTGTTACATGTGTGTATCTCTGTTACATGTGTGTGTATCCCTGTTACATGTGTGTGTATCTCTGTTACATGTGTGTGTAACTCTGTTACATGTGTGTATCTCTGTTACATGTGTGTGTATCTCTGTTACATGTGTGTATCTCTGTTACATGTGTGTGTATCTCTGTTACATGTGTGTGTATCTCTGTTACATGTGTGTGTATCTCTGTTACATGTGTGTATCTCTGTTACATGTGTGTGTATCTCTCTTACATGTGTGTGTATCTCCGTTACATGTGTGTGTATCTCTGTTACATGTGTGTGTATCTCTGTTACATGTGTGTGTATCTCTGCTACATGTGTGTATCTCTGCTACATGTGTGTGTATCTCTGTTACATGTGTGTGTATCTCTGTTACATGTGTGTGTAACTTTGTTACATGCGTGTATCTCTGTTACACGTGTGTGTATCTCTGTTACATGTGTGTGTATTTCTGTTACATGTGTGTTTCTCTGTTACATATGTGTGTATCTCTGTTACATGTATTTATCTCTGTTACATGTATTTATCTCTGTTACATGTGTGTGTATCTCTGTTACATGTGTGTATCTCTGTTACATGTGTGTGTATCTCTGTTACATGTATTTATCTCTGTTACATGTGTGTGTATCTCTGTTACATGTGTGTGTATCTCTGTTACATGTGTGTATCTCTGTTACATGTGTGTGTAACTCTGTTACATGTGTGTGTATCTCTGTTACATGTGTGTGTATCTCTGCTACATGTGTGTGTATCTCTGTTACATGTGTGTATCTCTGCTACATGTGTGTGTATCTCTGTTATATGTGTGTGTATCTCTGTTACATGTGTGTGTATCTCTGTTCCATGCGGGTATCTCTGTTACATGTGTGTATCTCTGTTACATGTGTGTGTATCTCTGTTACATGTGTGTGTTTCTCTGTTACATGTGTGTGTATCTCTGTTACATGTGTGTGTATCTCTGTTACATGTGTGTGTATCTCTGCTACATGTGTGTGTATCTATGTTACATGTGTGTGTATCTCTGTTACATGTGTGTATCTCTGTTATATTTGTGTGTATCTCTGCTACATGTGTGTGTATCTCTGTTACATGTGTGTGTATCTCTGCTACATGTGTGTGTATCTATGTTTCATGTGTGTGTATCTCTGTTACATGTGTGTATTTCTGTTTCATGTGTGTGTATCTCTGTTACATGTGTGTGTAACTCTGTTACATGTGTGTGTAACTCTGTTACATGTGTGTGTATCTCTGTTACATGTGTGTGTAACTCTGTTATATGTGTGTGTATCTCTGTTACATGTGTGTGTATCTCTGTTACATGTGTGTGTATCTCTGTTACATGTGTGTATCTCTGTTACATGTGTGTGTATCCCTGTTACATGTGTGTGTATCTCTGTTACATGTGTGTGTAACTCTGTTACATGTGTGTATCTCTGTTACATGTGTGTGTATCTCTGTTACATGTGTGTATCTCTTTTACATGTGTGTGTATCTCTGTTACATGTGTGTGTATCTCTGTTACATGTGTGTGTATCTCTGTTACATGTGTGTGTATCTCTGTTACATGTGTGTATCTCTGTTACATGTGTGTGTATCTCTCTTACATGTGTGTGTATCTCTGTTACATGTGTGTGTATCTCTGTTACATGTGTGTGTATCTCTGTTACATGTGTGTGTATCTCTGCTACATGTGTGTATCTCTGCTACATGTGTGTGTATCTCTGTTACATGTGTGTGTATCTCTGTTACATGTGTGTGTAACTTTGTTACATGCGTGTATCTCTGTTACATGTGTGTGTATCTCTGTTACATGTGTGTATCTCTGTTACATGTGTGTGTATCTCTGTTACATGTATTTATCTCTGTTACATGTATTTATCTCTGTTACATGTGTGTGTATCTCTGTTACATGTGTGTGTATCTCTGTTACATGTGTGTGTATCTCTGTTACATGTGTGTGTATCTCTGTTACATGTGTGTATCTCTGTTACATGTGTGTGTAACTCTGTTACATGTGTGTGTATCTCTGTTACATGTGTGTGTATCTCTGCTACATGTGTGTGTATCTCTGTTACATGTGTGTATCTCTGCTACATGTGTGTGTATCTCTGTTACATGTGTGTGTATCTCTGTTACATGTGTGTGTAACTCTGTTACATGCGTGTATCTCTGTTACATGTGTGTGTATCTCTGTTACATGTGTGTGTATCTCTGTTACATGTGTGTATCTCTGTTACATGTGTGTATTTCTGCTACATGTGTGTGTATCTCTGTTACATGTGTGTGTATCTCTGTTACATGTGTGTATCTCTGCTACATGTGTGTGTATCTCTGTTACATGTGTGTGTATCTCTGCTACATGTGTGTGTATCTCTGTTACATGTGTGTGTATCTCTGTTACATGTGTGTATCTCTGCTACAGGTGTGTGTATCTCTGTTACATGTGTGTATCTCTGCTACAGGTGTGTGTGTCTCTGTTACTCACATTCATGTGCTGTGGATGTAGCTGCTGCTGTGACACATTTGAAAAGTGTTGCATTAAATCAAAGCTGTTCTGCTTCAAAGTGTGTGTGTCGGTGTGTGTGTCTGTGTGTGTGTGTGTGTGTGTGTGTTTGTTTTAGACAACATGTTACACTCTGTAAATTCTGCTCCGACTCCAGAACAAAAGATAAATAAAAACAGCTGTTGTGTCGATGTTAGGGTTACGCTAACCCTAACATCGACACAGTCGTGTTTGGACTGCAGCCGTTTTGTGACTTTCATGTTTGATTTCCTTTTGACAATAGACACAATATAATAATATGTATAATAACTTATCTCCCATGATGCTCTTGGATCACCAGCACCAGCTGCACTCGGACATATTGATCGTTGGCGTGTGTTACATTAGCCGCTCCCAGTGGAACAGAGTTTGAAATTAGATTTGTCCTTAACCATTTCCTGTGTTCCTCTGCGTCTGCAGCTGATTGGACGAGTGTCATGGCGCTGCTTCATGAGCGCGCTCCGTCCCCGTCTCTGTCCGCCTTCAACTCGCCGCTGTCAGACCCACCGTCCTTTCGCCGCCTGGACGCAGAGACGCCATGTACCCCCGAGATGGACCTCACCCCCACGCAGTGTGTCCTCCGCAACGTCCTGTCCATCAACACCGTGGACCCAGGGGCCAGTGAGGGCCCCAGAGAAGGACACACTGATGGCCCCAGTGAGGGCCCCAGAGAGGGCCCCAGAGAGGGCCATCCCTGTGAGGAGCCACACGAGCACTTTGCCAACAGTGTCCTGAAGCTGCAGGACTGTGATGGGAGCCCCTGCAGGACGGGGGGCCCCTGCAGGACGGGGGAGGGACAGGACGTGATGGTGCGAAACCCGGGGGACGCCCGGCTGCAGTGTCAGTCCTCTGGAGGAGGGGGCTTCCTGGAGGGACTGTTTGGGTGTTTGAGACCCGTCTGGACCATGATCGGAAAAGCCTACTCCACAGAACACAAGCACGATCTGGACGGTGAGTTCCACATGAACATATTGGTATATGTACATAGTATATATACCAACATGTTCATATATGTATATGTATATAATGTATATGTACATAGTATATATACCAACATGTTCATATATGTATATGTATATAATGTATATGTATATATGTACAGTATATGTATATAATGTATATGTATATATGTACAGTATATGTATATAATGTATATGTATATATGTACAGTATATGTATATAATGTATATATACATAGGGTATATGTACAGTACAGATCAAAAGTTTGGACACCTTCTCATTCAAAGTGTTTGTTATTTTCATGATTATGAAAATGGTAGATAGACACTGAAGGCATCCAACTTATGAATGAACTCATGTGAATTATGTTTGTGGTAAAAAAGTGTAAATATGTGTTATATTCTGGTTCTTCAAAGTAGCTCCTTTTTCTCTGATACTGCTTCACTCTTGGCATTCTCTGGATGAGCTTCAACAGGACCTGAAATGGTCTTCAACAGTCTTTTATTTATTTATTTGGTATGGACATAACAATAGCATTGGACAAACCAGATACATTGTTTTTAGTGTTATAGCAAGACTGCTAATTTGCAACACCTTCGTGCAACGTCTTGAAGGAGTTCCCATGATGCTTAGCACTTGTTGGCCCCTTCACTCTGTGGTCCAGCCCCAAAACCATCTGGACTGGGTTCAGGTCCAAAACCATCTGGACTGGGTTTGGTCTCTCTCCTTATTGGTCAAACAGCCCTAACACAGCCTGGTGCAGGTCTACAGCAATAGTCATGAAAAGAACTCAGTGAAGGAGAGAGGGTGTCCACACTTTTGCTCTGTACTGTATATATATATATATATATATATATATATATATAGTGTATGTGTATATGTGTATAGTGTATATGTATATATGTATAGTGTATATGTGTATAGTGTATATGTGTATAGTGTATATATGTATAGTGTATATGTGTATAGTGTATATATGTATAGTGTATATGTGTATAGTGTATATATGTATAGTGTATATGTGTATAGTGTATATGTGTATAGTGTATATATGTATAGTATATATGTTGTTCTACAGTTACAGTTTGGGAACAAATCAGCATCTGACCATCTACACAAAAATACACAGAACACACACAGATACAAATGTGATACTGTGCAGTACAGTCATACACCATACCCTACCATGGGGTATGAGACACACAACAACACACACACAGACACACACACATACACACAGACACACTAAACACATGCACGCACGCACGCACTAAGCTGCTGCACACTGGATGTATTAGCTAATATAATGAAATCATGATGTATTAAGCATTAGCAAATGATAAGTTCATGATTGTGTGTCATAATTTGCAGTAGATTTCCGCCATATGACTCATGACGTTCATGATGTTCATGACTTTCATGACTTTCATGACGTTCATGACGTTCATGACTTTCATGACTTTCATGACGTTCATGACTTTCATGACGTTCATGACTTTCATGATGTTCATGACTTTCATGACTTTCATGACGTTCATGACGTTCATGACGTTCATGACTTTCATGACTTTCATGACTTTCATGACGTTCATGACGTTCATGACGTTCATGACTTTCATGACTTTCATGACGTTCATGACGTTCATGACGGTCATGACTTTCATGACTTTCATGACTTTCATGACTTTCATGACTTTCATGACGTTCATGACTTTCATGACTTTCATGACGTTCATGACGTTCATGACTTTCATGACTTTCATGACTTTCATGACTTTCATGACTTTCATGACGTGCATGACTTTCATGACGTTCATGACTTTCATGACTTTCATGACGTTCATGACGTTCATGACGTTCATGACTTTCATGACTTTCATGACTTTCATGACGTTCATGACTTTCATGACTTTCATGACTTTCATGACGTTCATGACATTCATGACTTTCATGATGTTCATGACGTTCATGACTTTCATGACGTTCATGACGTTCATGACTTTCATGATGTTCATGACTTTCATGACGTTCATGACTTTCATGACTTTCATGACTTTCATGACGTTCATGACATTCATGACTTTCATGATGTTCATGACGTTCATGACTTTCATGACGTTCATGACGTTCATGACTTTCATGACTTTCATGACTTTCATGACGTTCATGACTTTCATGACTTTCATGATGTTCATGACTTTCATGACGTTCATGACGTTCATGACTTTCATGATGTTCATGACTTTCATGACGTTCATGACTTTCATGACTTTCATGACGTTCATGACGTTCATGACTTTCATGATGTTCATGACTTTCATGACGTTCATGACTTTCATGACGTTCATGATGTTCATGACGTTCATGACTTTCATGACGTTCATGACTTTCATGACTTTCATGACGTTCATGATGTTCATGATGTTCATGAGGATCATGACGTTCATGACGTTCATGAGGATCATGACGTTCATGAGGATCATGACGTTCATGAGGATCATGATCGGTTGATTATTTTTTGGTAATTTCTTTGCTTTTTCAGTAAATTCATGGAATCATCATGATTATGATGTGTGTGTGTGTGTCTCTGTGTGTCTCTGTGTGTGTGTGTGTGTGTCTCTGTGTGTCTGTGTGTGTGTGTGTCTCTGTGTCTGTGTGTGTCTCTGTGTGTGTGTGTCTCTGTGTTTGTCTCTGTGTGTCTGTGTGTGTGTGTGTGTCTGTGTGTGTCTCTGCGTGTGTCTCTGTGTGTCTGTGTGTGTGTGTGTTTGTCTCTGTGTGTGTGTGTGTGTGTGTCTGTGTGTGTGTGTGTGTGTGTGTCTCTGTGTGTCTGTGTCTGTCTGTGTGTGTGTGTGTCTGTGTGTGTGTGTGTGTGTTTGTCTCTGTGTGTGTGTGTGTGTGTCTGTGTTCACGGATGAAGTCATCCATGAACCAACATGTAATCATGTTCGTTCATGAGAATTCATGATCTAGTAATGCATGAATGTATCATGAACTAATGCATTAATTCATCCATTAGTTCATGAGAATCATGCATGAACTCATGTACCATTAATATAAAGTGTTACCAACAAATAACTTTAAGATTTACAGAGTTATGTCTAAACTCAGAGTTTCCTCAAACACTTCGAAATCACAGCGAGACTTTATCTGAGCCTTTTAAAAGGCTCAGATCAGTGTCCCCCCTCTCTCCCCCCTACCTCTCTGTCACCTCCATCTCTCCCCTCTCTCCCCCCCTACCTCTCTGTCACCTCCATCTCTCCCCTCTCTCTCCCCCCCCTACCTCTCTGTCACCTCCATCTCTCCCCTCTCTCCCCCCTACCTCTCTGTCACCTCCCCTCTCTCCCCCCTCCTCTCCCCTCCCTCCCATCTCTCCCCCCTACCTCTCTGTCACCTCCATCTCTCCCATCTCTCCCCCCTACCTCTCTGTCACCTCCATCTCTCCCCTCTCTCTCCCCCCTACCTCTCTGTCACCTCCATCTCTCCCCATCTCCATCTCTCCCCCCTACCTCTCTGTCACCTCCATCTCTCCCTCTCTCCCCCCTACCTCTCTGTCACCTCCATCTCTCCCATCTCTCCCCCCTACCTCTCTGTCACCTCCATCTCTCCCCTCTCTCCCCCCCCCTACCTCTCTGTCACCTCCATCTCTCCCCTCTCTCTCCCCCTACCTCTCTGTCCCTCCATCCTCCCATCTCTCCCCCCTCCTCTCTGTCACCTCCTCTCTCCCATCTCTCCCCCCTACCTCTCTGTCACCTCCATCTCTCCCATCTCTCCTCCCCCTACCTCTCTGTCACCTCCATCTCTCCCCTCTCTCTCGCCCCCCCTACCTCTCTGTCACCTCCATCTCTCCCCTCTCTCTCCCCCCCTACCTCTCTGTCACCTCCATCTCTCCCATCTCTCCCCCCTCCTACCTCTCTGTCACCTCCATCTCTCTCCCCTCTCTCTCCCCCCCTACCTCTCTGTCACCTCCATCTCTCCCATCTCTCCCCCCTACCTCTCTGTCACCTCCATCTCCCCTCTCTCTCCCCCCTACCTCTCTGTCACCTCCATCTCTCCCCTCTCGCTCCCCCCCTACCTCTGTCACCATCCATCTCCCATCCTCCCCCCTACCTCTCTCCCATCTCCCCTCCTCTCTCCCTCTCTCTCCCTCCTCCTCTCTCCTCTCCTCCTCTCTCCTCTCCTCTCTCCCCCTCCTCTCTCCCTCTCTCTCTCCTCCTCTCCTCTCTCCTCTCTCCCTCCTCCTCTCCCTCTCTCTCCTCCTCTCTCTCCCTCTCTCTCCTCCTCTCTCCTCCTCTCCTCTCTCTCTCCTCCTCTCTCCCTCTCTCTCCTCCTCTCCTCTCTCTCCTCCTCTCTCCTCTCTCTCCCCTCTCCTCTCTCTCCCTCCTCTCTCCCTCTCTCTCCCCTCCTCTCTCTCTCCTCCTCTCTCCCCTCTCTCTCTCCTCTCCCTCTCTCTCACCTCCTCTCTCCCTCTCTCCCTCCCTCTCTCTCTCCCTCCTCTCTCCTCTCTCCCCTCCTCCTCTCTCTCCTCCTCTCTCCCTCCTCTCCTCTCTCCTCTCTCTCCCTCTCCTCTCTCCTCCTCTCTCCCTCCTCTCTCTCCTCTCTCCTCCTCCCTCTCCTCTCCTCTCTCTCCTCCTCTCTCTCCCCTCTCTCTCCTCCTCTCCTCCCTCTCTCTCTCCTCTCCCCTCTCTCCTCTCTCTCCTCCTCTCTCCTCCTCTCTCCTCTCCCCTCCTCTCTCTCTCCTCCCTCTCTCTCCCTCTCTCTCCCTCCTCCTCTCTCCCCTCCTCTCTCCCTCTCTCTCCCTCCTCTCTCTCACCTCCTCTCTCCCTCTCTCTCCCTCCCTCCTCTCTCCTCCCTCCTCTCTCCCCTCTCTCTCCCCTCCTCTCTCCTCTCTCCTCCCTCTCTCTCTCCCCTCTCCTCCTCTCTCTCTCCTCCTCTCTCCCTCTCTCTCCCTCCCTCTCCTCTCTCCCTCCTCTCTCCCTCTCTCTCCTCCCCTC